TAGAGGGCAGTGTCACTGGCCCTCATATGTGGGATCCGAACTGGGGCCCTCTGGCGTCCCAAGCCAGCTCTTAACCAACTGAGACACTCGGCCAGCCCGCGAACTGTTTTTTGATACCAGGATGCCACAGGAAAGATTAAGAGGCACCTCTGGGAGGGTGGAGGTGCTGACAGTTTCCAGTCCCCCGGCCTCCACCCCCCACCCCTGGTCTGAATATTTATATATTCTTGCCAGCCCCAGCCTCCAGTATTATGTAAACACATTGCTTTGTTTCTGCCCCAGGGTGAAAGCCTTCACTTCTGCAGGCAGGGGTTAGGAGGAGGGGCCTGTGCGGGCTTCTGGAGCTTTTAGGTGGGGAGGGCAGTAGTGAGGGTGGAATTGCCTTATAAGGAGTGGAATATAGAAAAGAACCCAGGCCAACTTCCTGCTTTGGCTACTACCAATCTGTCCTTTTAGCAACACAGACTAAGACCAGAGAGGGATGTCAGGTGGACAGCCTACCTGAGACGATACTAATAAGACTCAGGCATGAGGCTGCTTGTTTTTCAGAAGAGGACTTACAAGAATTCTCCAGCTGGACTAACCAGACCTTCAGGTTTCCATAGTCTGAGTGGGGAAGTGTTAGAGTCTGTGCCTACCACACAACCCCGAGAACTAGTCATTTCAGTATCATCCAGGAATATTAGAAGTGATAGCAAGTCACAGATTAGGGACTCTTGAGTGGATCTAAGTATAAGAACGACTAAGTATAAGAATGGGCGGGCAGAGGCACCACCTTGACATCGCACACTGGTAATCTGAGGTTTTGAATTTGGGTTTCTAGAGCTTATCAATCCTCCTCTGGGGGCAGAATGCCACCTTTTGCCAGGTCTTTCACTTGGGTCTCTTTGGAGTCCTCGGTATCAATTCCAGAGCCTTGATTTCCTGCCCCTGTAATCCCACACTGCTGCTCCACCTCCCTGACTTGTTAGCTTGTTAACATATTTGTTGTGTAACAACTCTGTCTACAGTCTGTTCTGAGCATATTTGAGTTGATGAAAGACTCTATTTGGGGACATACGATACATTCCTGAAACAACTTGAGAACTTCATGGTGGAGTGGCAAGACGCAGGCCCTGTCACCTGTCAGATGTGAGCCCAAACCCTGGCTCTGTCACTTACAGGCGCAGTGGCTGTGGGCACGGTCATCTCAGTGTCCCAGGCTCCTCCCCTTGTACTAGTGGAGGAATGATGTCTCCCTTGCTCGCAAGGATCAGAAATGGGTGTATAAGGAGCCAGGTACCTCGGAGGCATTTAACAAAGTGTTTTATCATCTCCGGTCACTGTCATTATCAAGATGTACTGATGTTGCCACAAAGTAACCAGCCCAGGGAAAAAGCATACACCCTCTGTTAGAGTGCAGGAGGCGTGCACCAGGGAAAAGTTTTCTGGAGTCATAGTTTGGGGCCCTGATCAACGAGTAGAGCTACGAGGAAAGGAAAGCGCATTCCGTCAGGAAAACAGCTAGAATGAGAGTGGACACAGCTCTAGGGAGAGGGCAGCGCAGTGGCTAGCTGGGCTGGCGGGCCTGTGCAGGGCAGCAGTGATCAAAGGCATTCATTTAGCATATCTTGGGTGCCTGTCATGTGCCACATGTCAAAGGTTGTGGAAGGTCCGATTCTGGCTCTCACGGAGCTCAGTGTCAGATAAACTGAAATTTATAAAACCTCGTGGAAAGCACCATGAAAGAGGCTACCTGGGCACTAAGTGAGTCTGGGGCAGGGTGTGGTCTCCAGCACAGTGGGTGGTGCCCACATCTCAGGCTGTTTTGGCTGAATGCAGAGGATATGATCTGTACACTGGGAGGCAGTGCCTCACCTCTCCTCCCCCAGGGAGAAGCTGCCAACAGCCCCAAGCCTCACGCGTCCTCCTTTCTCTCCCAAGACTCTCTTTAGGGGAAGGTTCCCCATCCCGCCTCATTATGTCTCGGCGAAGCCAGCGCCTCACGCGCTACTCCCAGGGTGATGACGACGGCAGCAGCAGCAGTGGCGGGAGCTCAGTGACGGGGAGCCAGAGCACCCTGTTTAAAGACAGTCCTCTCAGGTAGGGGATTGCCACCATCCCTGTGGGTCACGGCGACCCGCAGGGCAGAGGGCTCTGGTAGGTCACTGCGCAGCTTCTTCCTGTTGTGACCTTTGTGGGCGGACAGCAGATGCCCTTGTCCAGTCAAGGGGGACATTCACACCCATGAGGCGGCCAGGACCCAGTGCTGCTGCTTCTTCCCCTGTTGTATGCCTGGCTGCTGCCCTAGTGTTCAAAGAACAGGAAGTGGGGAGAGGCAGCTTTAAGAAGAAGCCGGAAACCCCTGACACTGCAAGCTAGGCTGTTAGGAACCTCTTCTGCTATGGCTGGGCGTGCCTATCTAGTCACCCTCCCCAGACCCACACCCGTGTGTCTCACCATCTGTAGTGCTTCAGCTGGGCCAGCCAAGCAGCTGAGGGGAGGAGTGGATCCCAGGGGCACTGGGAAATCAGTAAGGTGGGCGTTCGCCTCATCCTGCCCACCTTGCAGACATAAGCCCCCATAGAGTTGGCTAGCTCTGGGAGGCCAGGTCGGGTCTGTCTGGGTTTTCAGTGGGTTGTGGAAATTACTAATCCATTAAGAAGCATGAGAAAAAACTTTGACTTTGAAGTTGGAGACATAGATTTAAATCCTGGCTCTATCACCTACTAACATCTCACCTAACTGCTGCTGAGATTTGGAGATAATGGGAGCAGAGAAGGTATCTGTCTGTGTCGGCTGGGCTGGGCTCCACCAGGCTCTGCAGTCAGTAGTCAGGAGCTGTCAGTTGCCTAGCAACAAGGCCAACCCACTCACGACAGGCGGGCAGAACTGCTGGCTTCCTGTTCCAGGCTGGGCTCACCTGCCTGTTCCCCCTCTTCACTCCTGGCTGACTACCCACAGGACCCTGAAGAAGAAATCCAGCAGCACGAAGCGCCTCTCCCCAACGCCACAGCGGGACCCCTCCTCGGACACACACACCTCCTACTACGAGGAGTCCGTGGTCAAGGAGTCCTACTTTGGTAGCCCCCGGGCCATCTCCCTTGCCAGGAACTCCATCCTTAATGACCAGCTACACAGTGACTCCTACTGGAGTAAGTGTCCGGAACCTTTCTCCTGGGACTTTGCTTCCTCTGGAAACTTAAGGTCCCAAATGCCATCCCCCCCTTCACCCCCCCCCCAGATTTCCTAACCACTGCTGGGCCAGAGGAGGGGCTCCCCATCTTCAGATACCCTTGGAAGAGCAGCCAGGTGTCCGAACTTCCAGGACCCTTTAGATGATAAAGTAGCCACGTAGCTGCTCCAAGCCCAGGAGACTGAGGGGCAGGGCCCAGCTCACCATCCTTGGGACCTGGAGAGCTGGGGAGAGACCAAGGGCAGATTTCATCTTTCCATCCGAGATACTCCTCAGGGTGTCCCCATGAGGCCCTTCAGAATACCCTCCTCCGAGCATCTCTGTGCCCCAGGAGAACCCTGCATTCCTCCCTCCTCAGGTGATGACCTCCGGGTGAGGAGGAGGAGAGGCACAGGTGGCACCGAGAGCAGCAAAATCAACGGCCTAGCAGAGACCAAGCTGTCCGAGGACTTCCTCGGGTCTTCTTCGGGCTACTCTTCTGAGGATGACTACGCAGGTAGGCAGCGCTCTCCCCCCATCCTCATGGAGATGCTCTAGCAATTTCGGGACTGCCAGAGAGGTGATGGGAAGCCTGGGGAAGGCACCCCTGCCAGCTTGAGAGAGCACAGTGTCTGGCGGGTGCCTCCGTAGACCGGCTGGGCATCCCTCCTGTGCCACCCTGGCATCCTAAACCCTGGTTGGGGTGGCCCTTAACACACTGAACCGTGACTGCCCTGGCCCCACTAGGCCTGCGGTCCACTCCATTCTTAGGCTTCTTTCCAGCAAGCATTTTAATGTGGGCTTCACACAGAGGAGGTGCCTGATCCCTCGGTTCTGTTCTGAACGGGTTGATGGATTGCCTGTGAGGAGAGGGTTGCAGGCAAGGAGCTTAAGGGAAGTAAAATGTCAGAAAACTATCATTTTGTTCCTTCAGCAGACAGTTACTGACCTACTAGGCACCAGGCCTGTGTGACGCTCTGGGAATGTCATGGACAATGATACGTGGTCTCAGCCCACAGTCTAAGGAGAAGACAAGTAAAAGGCACTTTCTAGGCTCAGGGCTCTTCAAAGTGAGGCCAGACTGAGCGGGTCTCCTCTCTGTCACTGCAGGATACTCAGAGACGGACCAGTGGAGTTCAGGTTCACGGCTGAGGAACACTGTCTCCCGGGCAGGCTCTTTTTTCTGGACAGTGGTCACTTTTCCAGGTGGGTGCTGGCTATTCTGTGCACAATTGTTTCCATTCTCTAAAGCAATCACTTCTCACCTGTCTCTCTGCATTTGGGCATCCAGCCCATACAGGAGACTGTAGGACCATTGGGGAAAGCTTGCTCTAGAATAATCATGTTCTAGTAAGAGCTGTGGGGACATCCTCACTTGGAAGGGCTGGAGCAGCTGTGGAGCAGGACAGAGGGCGTTGGCAGAGCGGGCGGGTGAGGTTAGAGGAGCTGGGTAGCCGTAGGACAGGACAGGTGCATTGGCAGGTCAGTGCTCATAGGGGCAGGTGGAGAGAGCGCAGTGCTCTGAAACCAGGCTTCCGGCTCAGGTGACACTTAGGCCTGCTGGTCCCTCTTGCAGGCCGGCTTTTCGGACTCTTGTACTGGTGGGTCGGCACCACTTGGTATCGCCTGACGACAGCTGCCTCTCTCCTCGACGTCTTCGTTTTAACCAGGTGAGCGAAACCCCTGCCTGGACAATGAATCAGAAAGCCCAGGCCGAAGGCCTCAGACAGGCCGGCCTCCCCTACTGGTCAGGCCTCAGGCTCTAGCCAACCAGTGGTGTTTCCCAGGACATCCAGCTTCCCTCTTGGCCCCATGACAACCTACACCCCAGTGTGCAGGCGCTGCCTGAGGATGCCGGGGGTTTATTCCCCAAATCCCTGACCCAGCAGAGCCAGGATTTGGGAACTGGCTCCTTGGCAGAGGAAAGAAAACTGAGCCAGGAAGTCAGGGTCCTTCTGGCCGTAACCCTGGCTGGAGTGGGCGGCCAGCTATGCTGAGAAGATGGGCCAGGATGGATTCGTGTTACCAAAGAAAAGGTTCTTCATTTTTCTAAAAGCAGATGTTGCTTGTTTAAGGAGTTCTATATTTTTTTCCATATTTGCTTGCTTAGAGGTGTTCAATATATGAAAATTTTAATTTTTTCAAAGACCCCACTACTTATTTTTAATAACATCAGTACAATTTAGAGTCACTTTTGTCCCCATTACACCCAGACCTGTAGGTAAAGCTCTAAAGCATCCAATCTGGCCCTGGAAAGATGAGACACTCAAGGGTGTCCCCTTCAACTCCAGTTGAGCACTCAGAAAAAATCCCAAGGGACCCCCTAGGGGGAACCTAGAGGGCCTGGAGCCCTCTTGACAACTCCTCATTCCCTGCTCTCCCCTCCCGTGGCCCAGGCGCTTCTCATCCCTGAAGACCTTCCTGTGGTTCCTCTTACTGCTGCTGCTCCTGACTGGCCTGACCTACGGTGAGCTGACGCCCTGTCGTGGGGGAGGGGGAGGACAGGAGCCTCGGAAATGGGGCTGGAAATGGGGCTGGCGAGCCAAAGGGGCAGGGCCGAGTGTGGGTGGAGGCCGGTGCTGAGCAGAACTGAAAACTAGAGGGATGGTTTTCAAGTCAGGGAAGGAGGCAGGACGAGTGGGGTGGAACTGAGCCTGGGCACCCCTCCTGAGCCCTGGGCCCTGGGCCATTCCCGTCTGGCTCGCCTGGGTCCTCTGCTCACCGAAGCTGCTGTGTTCTCAGCGTGTCCAGTGAGTGAATAGCGAAGTGCCCAGACCCACTGACCTTGTCCTCAGTTTGGGTAGCCTCACTGGACTGCCTGGCATGTTGCGAGCATCCTCCGAGTCACCTGGGCCGGAACATGCCCCACCTAGTACAGGAGTATTAGGGTAAAAAGCAGGGACTCGGACGCCCTTATTCTTAGCAGTCATTTTTCCTCCATTCCAAATCAGGACGTAGTCTGGGTGAGTGAATTATTATTATAAGATGAAGTCCAAGCTTTAGCTATCTTTAAGATCAAAACAATAAAGTAGTAAAGAGAAGAAAGTACACCTTTTTACACTAAGATGCCTGTCATTTCCAAGATGCTGTATATTGTCCCAATCTCTATTATGGGACTTCCAAATTTATTAATAGTCGTCATCGTTATGTTTATATATACATTTGTATCAACTTTTCATTTGTCAGTTTCATATGAATTTCACAATTCCATGTGAATTGCCTCCCCAGGCTCAATTTTAATGATTGTACCAATTTATAATTAAGGACCATGCTTCGTTTATTTTTTTTAGAGTTGGTTTTTGAGGTTTGGCATCTATTCAACTTGTATTTCCTTTACTAATACCAAAGTACCATTTTTCTGAGCGTTGATTTCTTTTTTGTTTCCTGTTACAAGAACAGCTTGCTCATATCCAGTAGAAACTGGGCATCGCCCTTCAAATAATAATGACCCTTTATAATTGTTTGGAAGCACACATTCCCATGAGTTACCTCAGTGTAGTTTGAGCTTCACCCTTTCCTTTTGGAGTTGGTACAGCTGATGTCCTGATGGCCTCACAAGGAGATGTGTATGGGGAGTCTGAAAGGCAGGGGTCGGGCGGAGTGACCCGCTCAGGCCGTGCAGGAAGTGAGCACGTGTCCAGAGGGTCTAACTTACAAGCTGATGGTCGTGTGCTGCCTCCTGCAGCATTTGCTTGTGGTGACCAGGAGTTACAAGTGTGCTATCTTGCTGGATGGGGATCCTTTGGCCTATGGCTTGTTCAGGTGCCCTCACCCCACAAAGCTCAGGAGTAAACACACCACAAACAGAAGGCCCCTAAGCAAGCGCCAGCGTCCGTGTGGCTGAAGCCTTGTGCTGTTGTGGGGCCACAGGCAGCCTCTCCAGCGCGTGTATTCTGTCCCAGTGATTCTCAGCCACGGCAGCCCATTCGAGTCACCTGGGAAGCTTTTAAAACTCAGCTACAGAGGGTGCTGCCAGACCAATGAGCTCACTCTCTGGACGGGGCTCAGATAAGCTCCCTGGGGGTTCTGATACATAGTCTGGGCTGAGAACCACCACCAGGGCCTCTGGGTTCTAGCCCTGGACCGTCCCCAGCTTATTTAGCTGTTCTCCAAGTTTTGCCACCTACAGAAAGATGAGGATTCCTGTGGGGATGTGAGAATGCCTACGCTCTGGGACTGTCAGGTGGAAGTTGCTGCCTCAGAGAAGGATGGGGACCTCCCTTCCTCACCCCGCCTGCCAGCAGGAGCACAGCTCCGCTCAGATGAATGAGACAGGCTACTGATGTCTGGCGTTGATCAGGCTGCTGTCCTCACTCTGTGCACCTTCTGTTCACGGCCCCCGGCCTGCATAACCACCCTTTCCCCTGCATACAGGTGCTTGGTATTTCTACCCCTATGGGCTGCAGACATTCCACCCCGCTGTGGTTTCCTGGTGGGCCGCGAAGGGCAGTGGCCAGCAGCATGGAGTGTGGGAGTCCAGAGACGCGTCCCCACATTTCCAGGTGAGTATCTTCATTCCCAGGCTCCCCCTCAGCCTGTGTTTGTGGCTGTCTTTCCTGCTGTCATACCTGTACACAGAGCTGTCCTAGCTGGGACACTGCCTCATTGCCACTGTTTGGAGTACGCATTGGGGAGTGGGGGGGGGGCAGTTTGCTTAAACATGACTCAGAACTGTCCCAAAGTTAGTTGCCATCCTCAGAAGCATAGAAAACAGAAGGAAAAGGAATCAGACACATTGTCTTGTCTGCTTTGTTCCTTTTAATCCGGTTTCACAAATATTTACTGAGCACTGTCTATGAATAAGGTAATATCCTGGTCAGTTACCTATGAGCACAGGTAAACCACCCCTAAAATCAGTGCCTTAAAAGTACAAGCATTTGATTAGCTTATGAGTCTGTGGCTCCTGTGGCTGGCGCTTCTGGGCTGGTTGTGGCCAGGCTCCCTGTGTGCCTGCAGCTGACTAGTGATCAGTGGGCGGGCTGTACTCCACCTGTGCTTCCATCATCCAGCAGGCTAGCCCGGTCTTGTTCTCACAGCAGCCGAGCAAGGTTCCAAGGCAGCAGAATCAGGCCAGGCCTTCTGAGGCCTACAGTCGGAACTAGCACCCTGTCCTGTCTGCCACATTCTACTGGCCTAAGCAAAGCCCAGAAGCCAGTCCAGGTTAAGAAGGAGAAAAAGACTCCACCTCTCGATGGGAGCACCCGCAGGGTGCAGGGAAGGACAGTGGCCATTTTTGCAATCTTCCAGAGGCTGAAGATGAAACAGGTCCAGGCTGTGCCCTCAAGGAGGCTGCAGTCCAGTGGGGGGTGGGGCGGTGAGAGTTGCACAAAACCAGAATGGGTGTGTGCAGGGCCTGACTTCCACAATGAAAATTTAAAACTCTTTACCCCCTGATGATAGTTATTTAATTTTGCTTGTATCTTGCTGAATTTAGTTTGGTATCACTTTTTTTTGGGGGGCAGGCGGGTGTCACATTTTTAACCATTTATTTTTGTTGGTATTACTTTCCTGACCATGTTTATTTCGTAAAATAATGACACTTTCTGGCATTTATAACTTTTCCTATTTTAATCTTTAGTAAAGGCATTAAATACAATTCAATTTCAGGACCACCTTTTCTGGAAAAGAGAAGAGTGAATGTATCTTTGTATTTGCTTACATTTGCATAAAGACACTAATAAAAGTAGCTGTCGGGTTTGGGATGGGGTGGTGGTGAGGGCACAGGGTGGGTGGAGGCAAATGTTAGGAGTGTGACTTTTACTGTTTGTTTGCTTTTTGAGTCATGCAAATATACTGCCCATTTTAAAAACGGGACTTGAAAACTCAGAAGCAACCTCTGTACCCAGTAGTCCCCTGCCCTTTAACAGACTGTGTTTTAGGATTTCTCTTGGCAAAGATTTTTGTTGTTAAGCCAACAACGTTCTCAAAATTCATGGCACGCTATCAAATGCCACCCACAAGTCAAAATGACTTGTACTCTGTCTTCTCTGTGGGGCATCCAATTAAAGTGGAACAAGAAAGCTTTTTGAAATTATTTTGTCTTTTAGCTGTAGTTATTGACGGGAGAAGTAGAAGCTGTTGAAAGCCAGCAGCTGAACCTCTTAGCTTAGTCCCATGTTCTCCCACACTCCTTGGAGAGGAAAGGGGTGGGTGGGCTCAGCCCTGCAGGCCACCAGCCCCCTGTGGCTTTCCTGTGCCTTCTTCCCGTCCTCTTTTTGGACTGTCCCTCCATTCGGATCCTTTTCTAGGAGAGCTCTGTGTCCCCCCTCACCCGGCCCACGTGCACTCCCTTTTGGGGATCAGACCCCTCCAGCCCCGTGTGTCCCAGTACCCTGTGCTTGTGCTCCGCACCCATTTACCTGCTGATGGATTCGCCCACTTGCAGGGCAGAGAGACTGTCCTGAGAGCCTCAGGCCCAGCGTGTGTTCACATTTGGGCTGTCTGGGGTTCTCTTCCCTTTCTCTTCAGGAAGCACTGCTGTCGTAGGCCCCTCACCTCTGTGCCTTTTCCCTCCCTACCCTGCCAGGCTGAGCAGCGCATTCTGTCCCGGGTACACTCTCTGGAGCGGCGCCTGGAAGCTCTTGCTGCCGAGTTTTCCTCCAATTGGCAGAAGGAAGCCATGCGGCTGGAACGCTTGGAGCTGCGGCAAGGGGCCGCTGGCGAGGGAGGCGGGGGCAGCCTGAGCCATGACGACACCCTGGTGCTCCTGGAGGGGCTGGTGAGCCGCCGCGAGGCTGCCCTGAAGGAGGGCTTCCGCAGGGACACCGCTGCCCAGATCCAGGTAGGGGAGGAGCTGTGGTCTACAGGCGGGAGCTGAGGGTGGAGTGTGGATGACACCGTGGGCATGGGGGAGGGGACGAGACCCTGACATGAGGGAGACAACTCTCTGCCACTTGGCAGTTACCTTCTCGAAGCCTTAGTTTCCTTCTCTTTAAAATGGAGACTATCCTGTCTACCCACCGCCTCTGCCCTGGTTGTGAGCACATTCTGGCATGGCGCCTGACACCATGTAGGTGTACAGTTAGGGTCACGGGAGGCTTGCACACTCACTCCCAGGAAGCTCTGTAGCAGAAAGGCTGGGAGCTAAAGGTTGCTACCCAATGAGCCTGGTTTGAACTTTAGTCACACTACTTACTGGTGGTAGGTGGTCCTCAGCGTGCGACTCGGTAAAATCCTCACCCTCTCTCATAACTGACAGGAGGAACTGGTCACCCTGAGAGCAGAACATCAACAAGACTCAGAAGACCTCTTCAAGAAGATTGTCCAGGCCTCCCAGGTCGGTGGGCTGGAGGCACCTGGGCCCTGACCCAATTCAGCCTTTGTTGCTGGGCTGAGGGGCTCCTTGGCCTCCTGACATAGAGTGGGGCACGTGCCTGTGCGTGTGTGCATGCGTGTGTGTGTGTGTGTGTGGTCCCCTGACTACGGCTTGAATTGATCCCACTTGGACTGGAATGCTCTGCAGGGAAGAAGCACAGGGAGCGTGCCTGAGGACAGGAAGGGCCACCTCTAAGTGGCCTGTTGTGTTGGGTATAACATGCTGAATGAATGAGCGAATGCCTAAGTGCGTCAGCTACAGGGTGAAACTCTCATAAGGACCTTGACCAGGAGACGAGTTTGACATTTACTGGAGCAGTTGGGAGACCCTGGGGCATGGATGTGGTTAAGCAAAAACCCCAAAGGGGACAGTGACAGATCCTGCTCCGGGAGGCCGACTGCTCTGAGTCTGACCATGCTTGTGTTTGTCCCTTCTTCCTGCTGACAGGAGTCTGAGGCTCGACTCCAGCAGCTGAAGTCTGAGTGGCACAGGTAATGGGTCCTGCCATGTGGCCTAGGCCTGCCCTTCCCCCACCCAGGCAGGACTGGGGAGCAGAGCCCCAGAGCAGGGTTCTGATTGTGTCCCAAGTAGAGAGCGGATGGCTGAAGCCTGCCTCGGGACCATGTGCTTAGAGCCTGTCCTCAAGACGCAGTGGAGATGGGGGATGGGGGCTCTGCAAGAGAGCTGGGATTCGTGGCTTCATGCACACACACATCTTTCCTGTGCAACCTCGCGCAGGCCCCTCCCATGCCCTAGACGGCGCACTTGTGGAGGGTGTGAGCGGCTGAGGCAGCCCGAATGATGCGTCTGGGCCTAGAGAGGGAGGAGGATAAGAATTCGCTCCCTGGGACAGCAAACCCCGGGGCTGTGTCACAGCCAGGAGCTCTAAGAGTAGGCCTCGCGTTCACCTGTAGCTGGTGGGTGCACATTACATCAGGAGTCAGCAGGGGCCCGCTTGCTTCCCTCAGCATGGCCCTACCCCTCCCCGGAGATCCCAGGCTCACGCTTCTCTCTTTGGGAGTAGGATGACCCAGGAGTCGTTCCGGGAGAGCTCCATGAAGGAGCTGGGGCGGCTGGAGGGTCAGCTGGCAGGCCTGCGGCAGGAGCTGGCAGCGCTGACTCTGAAGCAGGACTCCATGGCGGACCAAGTGGGCCTGCTGCCCCAGCAGCTCCAGGCCGTGCGGGATGACGTGAGTTGGGACCGTCCAAATCTCCTGCTGGACACCCTGTCCTCTGGGACCATCTGTCCTAGGGCAGAGAGCCTCTTGCCTTGGCAGCCTTTTAGTCCCGCAAGCCCCCGGCCCTGCACTTGGCACAGATGTTGGCTTCCTTTGACGGGAGCACTTCCTGTTTTGCTCTCAATAACGTGGAGGGTTGTTCATGGTGTTCCTCACATGGCCCAAGCAGGCGCATGCTGGCCCTGCCCTTGCAGGCCTGCACTGCTTCCCTACCCTTTTACTCTGCCAGACTACTGCCCTGTTCTGGCCGGGGCTCTGCTATGGCAGGTCCCACTGTCCCTGCCAGCCTCCCTGAGCGAGACCTGTTTTTGGTCCCTAGGTGGAGTCTCAGTTCCCTGCCTGGGTCAGTCAGTTCCTTCTCCGAGGCGGGGGGACCCGCACTGGGCTCCTTCAGCGAGAGGAGATGCAAGCTCAGCTGCAGGAGCTGGAGAGCAAGATCCTCGCGCACGTGGCCGAGATGCAGGGCAAGTCGGCGAAGGAGGCCGCGGCCAGCCTGGGGCGGACACTGCAGAAGGCAGGCGTGGTTGGGGTGACAGAGGAGGTGAGAAACTGTGCTCCCGGGCCCCCGATTTCTACACACACATACATCACCTCCCCGTCCCTGGGAGTTATAGACCCACACAGTCCCACACTGCTAGCTCCCTGCTATGTGCTAGGATCCAGGTGACACGCAGGAGGCTCCGATGTTTGCTTTGCGGCTGGTATGGGAGGGTGGGTAGGTGGCATGTGTGCCTGGACACCAGCGTGCTGCAAGCAGAGGAGGGGTCAGTCTGGGTCCCTGGACCAGTCTGCTTCCTGACGCAACTGCTCTGGGTGCCTGTGTTTTAGGACGTGCACCGCGTTGTAAGCCAGGCCCTGAAGCGCTACAGTGAAGACCGCATCGGGATGGTGGACTACGCGCTGGAATCAGGAGGTACGTGCATCTGCCGGGCAGCAGGGGGCTAGGTAAGCAGGGCTTATTGGCAGAAGCCACTTGCCCTAGAACTCACCACAAAGCCTGCCAACAGCTGGAAGTTGGGATGTACCGAGCAGCACCCTTGGCCAGGGCAAGGCTGATGTTATAGCTGCTCTGGGGACGGGGGCATCTGCCCTGTCCTCAGATGACATGGCAGTAGTGGTCCCTCCTTGGGCTGCCTCGGCCTTTTAAGCCTGGGGTCCTCTTGGCTGCTGAGCTGAGCTGGTTGTTGGGCCTCCCTCCCCTGCTGATGTCCAGGCTGCAGGCGCCCACATGGCCTCTTTCCTGTCTCAGGGGCCAGTGTTATCAGTACCCGATGTTCCGAGACCTACGAGACCAAGACGGCCCTCCTCAGCCTGTTTGGCATCCCCCTGTGGTACCACTCCCAGTCGCCTCGAGTCATCATCCAGGTAAGTGCCCAGCAAGAGCAACAGCGGGGCCCTGAGCACAGTCGCCTAAGCAGCTGGGTGACGGTCCCATCCCGGGTCAGCCAGAGCTGCACTCGGGGAGGGCCCTTCGCCACCAGCCCTGCGCTGACCTGACTTTCTTGCCCTTCAGCCAGATGTGCATCCAGGCAACTGCTGGGCCTTCCAGGGGCCGCAGGGCTTTGCTGTGGTCCGCCTCTCTGCCCGCATCCGCCCCACTGCTGTCACCTTAGAGCATGTGCCCAAGTCCTTGTCGCCCAACAGCACCATCTCCAGTGCCCCCAAGGACTTCGCCGTCTTTGTAAGTATCCCAGCTGTGTGGGGCCAAAGGGCTGCAGGAGGACCCTGGGGGTCTCCACTGAGGATGAAGCCGGTCATTCTTTGGCTGGGGGAAGGGAGCAGATTTGGAAGACATGGCGCCAGGGTGGGAAATGGCACTTCAGTCCCAGTTCTCAGGCTATGGAGGAAGAAACTGAGGCCCAAGGAGCTAAGTGACTTGTCACTGACCCCCACAGCAGCCCTGTGTCCAGTGCTCAGGCCCCCTGCCATTCCCAGGGTAGGAGGGGACCAGTGTGGGGACAGGGAGGGAATACGCTCCTCTGCGGGTGCCCGGGTGCACGTCTAAGAGCCGAGTCTTCCCGCTTTCCTTCGCTCTTTTCAGGGGTTTGATGAAAACCTGCAGCAGGAGGGGACGCTTCTTGGCCAGTTCACCTACGACCAGGACGGGGAGCCCATTCAGACCTTTTACTTTCAGGTAGAGGATTCTGTTGTGCTGGCAGGGGTGGCACACACTTTCCCCTTCATTCAGCAGTTTCTGAGCAGTCGCCCTGTACCAGGCACTGGGGGGTCAGAGCAGAAAGCCGCAGCCCCTGCCTCACACAGCTCAACGTGTGGGACAGAGACAGCTGTCCCAGTGGCCTAAATAGGTGTCAGTACAGGGGAGCGGCCCCTTCCAGACGGGGGGCGCTGGGGAAGGCTGTCTGGGAAGGGCAGGTGTCTGCCTGCAGGTGGCCCAGCCAGGGCTCAGGCAGTGCCGCGTGGCCAACTTGAGTGGGCCTGCCATCCAGGCCTTTCCCTTGTCAGAAAAGCAGAGTCCCAGTCTCTACCCTGGGAGGTTGATTTCCTTAGGGCTGCTGGGACCCAGGAACCTGTCTTCTAACAAGCAGCCCAGGTGGATCTGATGCAGGTAGCCTGCGAGCCCCACCAGGGGTGAGGAGGTGACGGATGTGAGAGGTGAAGGGACAGTGGCAGGAAGAGGCTGGAGAGGAAGGCCTGGCTAACCACGCCAAAGAATTTCAGCCCTCAGGGCTGGGATGAGGGTAGCGGGTGGACATTGCTGTGTTTAAGGCAGAGAAGTGACAGTACGATATGCATTGTGGTAAGATCACTGTGACTGTGTATAAATGGTGCGCCTAAGGGGGACAAGCCTGGGGACAGGGGACCGGTCAGGAAGTGGTTGTTGCAGGGAAGTGAGCCAGAACTGAGATCCAGAGAGGGTGTTTGGCGTGAGGGTGAAAAGGCAACAGGATCCAGTGGGAGCGCCCTGAATGTCAGGTTGGATGGGAAGAGGGAAGGGGGAGGGGGGACGGGAGTGAGGGGAGCTGAAGGCGAGGCTAATGCAGAGACGGGCGGGTTTGGCCACTAAGTTTGAGGCGCCTGTGGGACAGTCGTGGAGCCGTCACGGGGACTGGGAGCTCTAAGGTAATAACAGCGATGGGAGTGGGTGGGATTTCTCGGGGGTGTGTAGACTGAGCTTGTGGGAGAGGGTGCAGGACAGAGGCTGGAGGGAGACAGGAAGAACAGGGCAGCACTGTGACTGGGCCACCAAAGGAGGTGAGATTTGCTCCAAAAGCTGGCTCAAACATTGGGGCTTTTTGAGCATAGAGGACGGGGGCCTGACGGGAACTTGAGAAAGAAAAGAAATTCTGCTTCATTCAGAGTAAAGGAATTCTTTTCAAGCCCTCCACGAAGGCAGTATAGTCCATTGACTGTAATAATCAAGAGCTTCTGTGAACTCTTCGGTTTGGGATGAACTGCGCTGGCACTCAGCTTCAAGGCCGTTTTTACGTGGCCCTGGGTGGGTGGCCCCTGTAGGACCTCTGAAGCCCTGGGGGCTCCTTGGCCCACTGGCTAGACTCTCCTCCAGGGTCTGAAAACAGGAGCTTTGAGGTCCAGCTCTCTGCAGGGGGCCAGGATGAGGGGCACTGGCCTTAGGGGTGGCATCTCCCCTCCTGCCTGCTGACCCTCTTTTAACATCTTCTCTATCCAGGACCCTAAGATGGCCTCATACCAGGTGGTGGAGCTGCGGGTCCTGACCAACTGGGGCCACCCGGAGTACACCTGCATCTACCGCTTCCGGGTGCACGGGGAGCCTGCCCACTAGGCCTTCTCTGTGCTGCTGCCAGCCAGCTGGGCGGCCAGCCCCTCAGCGCGTGCCCCCTTCTCTGGGAGTGGGAGAGCAGCACCCCTGCCACTCCCCCCCACGCTTGATCAGCGCACTTACTCCCAGGAGCAAGAACCCCTGGCCCCGTGGCGATGAGAGAATGTGCAGGGCTTTCCTAGTGGGCTCCAGTGTTTTAATTCTCCGTTCTCTTCGTGCCCGGCACCGGCATCTACTTCCGCCTCCTGGGAGGGTGTATATATGTAGCATATCATGCTGGATGAGGCAGGAGGAGGGCACGAGCGAACCTTCCAGCAGCAGTGAAGCCTGACTGCCCCCTTGCCCATGGCGGAGGGGTTGGCACCTAGGAAGCTCTGTTGGGAGGTGTGTGAATGATACATGTGCCAAAGCCATGGGTGGGCCAAGCTAGGGCCTGAGGCAGGGAGGTGAGGCCCTCTGGGGAGGGTGCTCACCGCACAGGTTGGGACTGGGCAGCAGGCAGGAAGCCAGTGCCATCAGCCTAGGGGAGCCTGGCCCTTAAGGTCCTTGAAGGGATTCTGTACTGTCTTTGTCCTGGGCCAAGGTGGGCTTTGGGGCGTCTTGTTCCCTAGAGGGGCTGGCTCTTGTAAGCCTCTGAGGGGCCCAGGGGCCAACCCCGTAGGATCCCGTTCTGGGGACAGTAGTTGCTTTTTCTCTTGATGCTGGGATTGGGGCATGCCTGTGCCCCAGAGCAAGCCTGCCACATTCTCCCAGGGCACAGGAAGCCCAGACCTATCCCTTGAGGCCATAAGCATCCAGGGCCCGCTAAAAGGGTGGGAGCAGGGGACTCCCTGGGTTCTCCTGGTGGCCCAGTGATGAGTGATATTCAGGATGTCATGATGGGAGGTCTGTCTGCACTGTGGGCCCTGCCCTACCTTCATCACAATCAGTCCCTGATGTAAGGGGCCTCAGCTGCCCCTTTGGGGCTCCTTTCAGCTCTTGCTCAATGCTGTTTCCTTTCTGGCTTTTTTCTATGGGGGGTGGGGTAGGAAGGGGGCCTGAGGTGGGGGCTTTTTGACCCAGCAGGTCCTGAGTATTATGTAAATATTTTTCAAGGTCTGTTTTTTAACTGAAAAGCTAAGGGCTTGATTCTTAGCCCCGTTCTGTGGGGCATTGGGTGATTTCAATTTCTTGTAACCCGGCTGCCAAGAGGGGCTACCATGCAGGCAGGTGCCCTTGGAAACAGGGCACGCTCTGAGTGGCTCCCGCACGATGCTGGAATGAAGGTGAGGCCCCAGGCCATCCTGGGCTCCTCCAGCACTGGCCCCTTGCACAGCCTCTGCCCCCAACCAGGTTTCATTTTGTGCTCTTCTGTCACAAATGCTGCACTATTGGGTTCTTAATTTTTTATCTCAATTCTAATTTATGCCTATGCAAAAAATAAATCGTGCCCAGGACTAATGGAGTATGTGGTTTTTATCTGGCCATCCCACAGGGAATCTGTTCTTGGGAAAATGAGAATGAATTCTTGGCCGAAACAATGCTTCAAAGACTTACTCCTACTTTAGAAACCTGGCTTTTCAGCTAAAAGCCAGCTATGATGGGGGCGGAGGCGGAGGCAGGCCCTGCTCCAGTGATTCTGGGTTCAAGGGTTGGCAAGAGAAAGTGAGGTGGCTTTAATAGCTGACATAGATGTCCCGTTATGAAGCAGGAAACTTTGTGCCATGTGAGTAGAAGGCAGGGAAAGTTACCTGTTTCACTAGTGACCGTGTCTGCCTTCGGGGCCGTGATTATCCTCGGTGGGAGTTAGACATTTGCCTCTTGTACCTGTGCTGGGATGGGACAAGGAAGTGGGTCCCCTGAAGAGCCAGAACCTGCCAGCTCAGGGAAACGGGTCCTGACCCTTCCCCACAAATACCTCCCCGGAATCAGTCTCAAATGAGCTGCTCAAAGGGCCAGGGGCAGGCCACCAATGGGACTCTCAAATGCGTGCCTCTTGTCCTGGCCGTCCTGGCCATCCTGGCCCAGGGCCAGTCCCCATCACAGCTGTGAAAATAAAGGCAGGAACGGGTCAGTAGGGAAGGGCTTGGGGATAAACTGCCATAGAGTAGGTGGAGTACAAATCCAGCCCTCAGGCTGTGGGCCAGTTTACTCAACCCCTCAGGTCAGGGTCCTAGGAAAGAGCTAGTCTACATGTGGCTGGTCCTCCAGCCACTGCTCACATCAGCCCGTTTCAGTCAATTCTTACTCTGCAACTAACGTCTTTTTCAACAAAGGAAACACCCCTGAGCTGTGCCAGTAAGTGAGCCCCCGGAGCCTGCCGGACAGTAATCAGGCTGGGAGCCTCTGCTCCTGCCCTCTGGGGCAAGGCACATGCCCTCTGCCTGCCTGCACACATTCAAATCCTATTTGGCCCCTCACAGCGCAACTCACATCGTCTTCTCCATGTTATGTCCGGTGACCCCAATCAAACTTCCACTCCCCTTGCACCATGGCACACTCCTGTTACCTCAGCTGCGCCCGGGAGGCCAATAAGCCAGAACAGTGGTCCTGACTGGATCAAAGATGCCACAAATGCCAGCTGCAGTACAGGTCAGGATTTGCCATTCGAGATGATCGGATTAACAATTTTATTCTTTATCAACTACAAAAGGGCTGGTGTTTTGTTTCAAATGGATAGTTGGTAGGTCTGAGGCCTATAGGGGAGCTTTGGAGTCCCTGTTAATGACAGTAAAATGCTGCAATCGGTCAGCCCCCTGCTCAGTCAACGTGCAATCCAGACCAACCCCGAGTGTCTGAGGGCAGAAGCCAGGGTGGAGGCCACAGCTTCCAAATGTAACAGAAGTGGTTATGCTCATAGGGGCCGCGAAGTTCAAACAAAATGAGGTTCCACCTGTTCTGAGGTTCTACCCTGGCCAAGGCCTGTGGAAACCAACCCCACAGCACCTCCATGGGGATAGAGAGAAGGGGGTGCTCAATGCTGGAGCCCCATTACAGGGGCACCAGTGGGCAGCAGCCCCTGTAGGCAGAGGCAGAGTGAAAAAGCAAGGAAACAGGCAGGGGCCAGAGCACGCTGCAGCAGCTGACCGGGAATGGTGGGGGGCGAGGGCAGGTGCAGGGACAAACACGCCTGCTGGTGGCACTGCTCCTCCGAGCTTCAGTCCTTAACTAAAAAAATGGAACTAACTCCACCTCCCTCAGACAGTAGCTGCAGAACATCAAAGAACATGAAGAGCGTGCGACACCTATGACACCTCACAGCCCCAGCCACATAGCAGAGACGGGGCAATGCGACATTTCCGCTTTGAAACCTGTCCCCCAGCTTGCAGCCTCTGCTAGAGACCCAGGAGCCAAAGTGGGTGGGCAGCAGTGTAACTATTCACCATGTCCCTCCCATGTGCTGGGCACAGGAGGGCCTCAAATACATCCTCACTAAATCCTGACAACCCTGATGTAGGCATTTACCTCTTGCTGTAGATAAGGAAACTGAGGTTCAGAGAAGGCTGGCAACTTGTCCTGTGTCACAGCTGGTGCAGGAGCCTGGATATTGAAGCCACGCCTGTCTGACAGAAGCTGGGCTGGCCCTTGCCCTGCAGACAGGGGCCCCTGGGCAGGTAAAGCTATAGTGTTCCCGGAGGCAGTACCTCCACCTGGAGGGGCTGGACAGGGACCACCACACTGTCAACTTGGAACGAACTTTTATTTTGTGTGCTGGTCTGGTCGGTCCATGGCCATGGATCAGTGGTAACTAGAAATAGCTAGACAGGGAGGTGGAGGGACCAGCAGTCCGGGAGCAGAAGGAAAGAAGTGTTGGGGACAAGAGGGAGGCAAGGCTGAGGATGGACCCAGCCAGCTGGGTGTCTGCCCCGGCTGGAGAAAAAACACCTCCGTCCACCCTAAACTGAGGGCTTCAGTCCACAGCTCAGACCCAGCTGGTTCAGGGCCCACACTGCAGCTCTGGCCTGGGCAACCCCACCCCCATCCTAGGCAGTGCTTCTTCCAGAGGGCTTAATGCTCGGTGCTGGGCCTGGAAGGGTCTTTTTCACTGCCCCCTGCCCTGCCAGCACCCCAACTGGGGCTCCCAAACTTGGGGCTCAGGCCCTTCACTGTTGTGCTCCTATAGCAGTCATGCCGGGGCGATGTGGCGGGGGTGTGGTGGGGAAAGAAGGAGGGGTTCTAGTCATAGCCTGGCTCAGAGGAACACTCGCACCCCACCAACAGGAGGTGCGAGTGAGCAGGACCCTGAGCAGGCGACCCCAGTCTAGGTCGTCAGTGCCCGGATTCAGAGTCCAAGTCCAAGCAGGGGAGGCTCTTAGGCGAGGCGAGAGCTTCCAGCTCAGCAGAATCGCGGAGCAGGAGTTGCCCTGGCCTGCCAGGCAAACACAGGATTGTCTCCAAGGGGAAAGAAAAGCCACCAGCTGTCTTTGGGTCAGTGGCAAAGGTCGGGGTTAGGGGCAGGAGGGGCCCTACAATCCAATCACCTCTTCCCTCTATACGTCTACAGGCTACAATTTAAGAGCTTTTGGCATTACCTGTTTGGGGGTTTAAGGAGAAAAAGAGAGAGAAAAGGAAGCCAGCACTCTCCACTCTGCTGGAACCCCCAAGTCCCAGAAGGAGGGCTCCCTGAGCTGGCAGCAGCACTTACACCCAGCCCTAGACTGGCTCCACAGAGGGCTCAGGGTGCAGAGCACAGGGAAGGAGGGCACCCTTCAGCTCTTGACAGCCCCTAAAGGTTCTCACAGACACACAGATGGATGGACAGACAAATGGGCAGGTGGCCAGCTCCTGGAGGCTGGTGGCCAGCCATGAGGAGGGAAGGAGAAAGACTGCCAGGCCCTGACAGGCTGCACTCCTCTCTCTCTCTCACTCTCGCGTGCTCTCTCTCTCTCTCTCTCACACACACACTCACACACACACACACGCACGCACGCACGCACGCACGGACGAGGTATAATAAAAGGAATAAAAACTAAGGGCCCAGATGTACAAAAACTGAGTGAGGAAGAAGGTGGGGAGAGGGTGGGAGATGGGCAGTCCTCCGGAAATCTGGCCACCTTCCTCGGCTTATAAATTACAACGCCCCTGGAAACCGGGGTGGGGAATGATGCGGCTCCGGCTGTGGCCTGGGGGGGGGCGGGGGGAGTCAAGAGTTGCTCTGGCCCATCTGGTGGAGCGCTGGCCAGAGGACATGAGGATCCCTTGGGTGGTGGAGGAGGCAGGGGAAATTCAGCAGCCACTGGCAGGAGTCACACAGGCCCCCTGGGACTTCACCTTGTGACGCTGGCCCCCTCGTCGCCGGCCCCCACTGCTAGGCTTGGGCTGCAAGAGAGAAGGGAGGAGCTTGAGAAGCAGTGGCCCCCGGGGAGCGGGAAAGCAGAGGGGCGGGGCAATGGGAAGAGCGGGCAGGAGGCTACCGGTGGGAAGGCGGGCAGGCGGGCAGCGGGCAGGCGGGCGCGTGGTCCCAGCCCAGCCTGAGCAGTCAGCGCTAAAGGGGCCTGGAAACCGCACTTCCCAATGTCACATGCAGCAAGCACCGGCCTGCCTTCCTCCAGGGCAGGCGGGTCACAGGTGATAACCAGTGAGCGAGTTCAGAGAAGCACAAGGAAAGCAGGAACCACCACCTGCCACCACTGATAGGTGGAAAGAGAAGGAATGAAGGAGCCAGAGGAGAGCTCAACGCAGGAGAGCAGAAAGGGCAGGTCCGGCAGAAACTTCCTTCTCCAAGGTTCAGAAGGAGAAGACACTAGGAGAGGGGGAAGGAGTGCCGGGAGAGAACTGGGGACAGAGCTGGCAGGAGATACTGAGTGAGGGCCACAGTGACACAGGGCCAAGGCCATCGACCGCTCAGGCGGTGTCATGTCAGGGTGGGGGCACAGGAGGGCCCGCTAAGGCAGTGTTTTTCAAACCTTTTGGACCACGGCATCTGTATCCTCACCCACACTCTCTCACACACACTTACTCTTACTATGAAAGGGAAGCTGAAATGTGAAAACCAAATGCAAATCAGGACCAATTATTGGATTGTCGGAAATGTCATGATGCATTTTTTCAACGAAAACCATAGAAAAATTATGTCATGACTTTTCCAACAACCCAATAAATTGATTTTATGTAGGTCACATCTCAAAGTTTGAAAAACACCCTTCTTCCGAGACAAATAGCTCACACTTAGCACTCAGGCGCCAGGAGTCGTGGGAAACGCCTATTTATGTACAGATGTGGCAGTGAGTGAAGGCTGCCTGGAGCTCTCCTACATGTCACCTCCATCAACCAGAGTGGCAGCTGCACTCCCCACCACCCTGCCCACACACACCAGAGGTGGTTAGGGTGCCAGGACTGGCCACGAGGCATGCTCACCATTGGCTGGAGACTGCTGGATGTGGCTGACTGCGCTGCCCCTAGAGAGCAAGCTTCGTCTCCAGGTGGGGGTACCCCTACTGCCGACCCTCCAGACGGGCCCCCGTCTTCTCGTTTGCTCAGAGGGCCTTTCTTCGTTGACTGCATCTTAATCTGCTGAGGCTTGGAGTTCATCGGGGAGTTGTTGGTGGTCTGGAGGAGCTGCAGGAGCCAAGGGGGGCAGGATGAGACCAGAGCTGCAAGCAATGACAACGGCTCGGCTGCCTGCTCCTCCATCCCCTCTCTAAGGAACTTCTCATTCCCTGGCCTGGCTGGTCCTTGGTGACTGGCTGGTCCTTGGTGATGGCCCAGGGTCCATGGCAGGAGGGCTATGACAGGGGCAGTGACATGGACCAATGTTCTCATCCCCACTCAGCATCCCAGGGCTGCCTCAGCCCAGCCCATCAGGGCTCCATCCTGTCCCCTGCCCGACGATCAGGGAACCTCAGCCCCTTCCCACTCGGTCCAGCTCCCAGGCCAGGCTCCAGCCTGCCAAAGCCTGGTGAGCTGAACTCAAGGCTCTCTTCCGTACTAGGCTGGCTGAAATTCCTCAGAGCATCCACTGCATCTCCAGCCCCAGGACTCTGCTACCCCTGGAACGAGAGTCTGGGGCAAGTTTTAACTTCAGGCCTCCCAGAGACCAAGTGAGGGTCTCAGCAGCTGGAAACATCTGGAGTGTGGCTATCAGGAATCTCAAGCGCTGTCACCCAGGAGGGATGCGCTGTGGCAGCTCTCCCAAAGCAGGGACTGGCACCTCTGCCTTTGGCAATTTGGGCGAATCCGCAGGGCTTCTCAAGAAGCGCCTGTTGTGCCCACGGTCTATAACTGAAGTGGCCCCTGGGGTTTGCTGGGGGCAGGTGAAGTCTGCCTGGCCATACCTTGGTGATGGTGCCCACAGCCTTGGTGCGGCCTTCCCGGAACACCAGCCGCTGGTCTATGTGTAGGTACTCGGGGGTCTTGATGAAGCGGAAGTGCACGGTAGCCTTGTCCCCGGTGCGCAGACAGTCCTTGTCCATACTCAGAATGGTGGCCGTCTGCCTGATGCTCCCACAGTGTACTGCCAAGGGAGCCAGGGGTCAGGACAGGCTTGGGTCACCCAGTAGTCTCAAGGCAGGGGAGGCGGTGAGTGAAAGCATGACATATGCTTGAGCTGCGCATGCTCGGGGCCTAGGGAGGCCCAGTGGGCTGAGGCGGCACTGACATCAGGTCCTGCCTTTTCCTCCAGTCAGACCCCACCTGTCCTGGGACCCATGGTCCTAGTTTCTGAATACAGGGCACTGTGTTTGCATGTGTGCCTTCTCCACTGTTGGCTTCTTCAGGGCACAGCCCTTGCCCTTAAGGTCTGTCCCCAGCATCTTGGCAACACCTGGCACACAGCAGCATTCAGTAGAAACTGAGTAGACATAGAGCTGGCACTCGGTTTGTGTTTGTAGGGCAGAATAAACGCTACAGCTTGTGGGCAGAACAAGAGGACATCACTGAACAGGAAGGAGACCTGCTTCTTGGCTAGAGCTGAAACTTGGGGGTTTTGGTCACTGGAGCACTTTGTGAGAGTTCTAGAGCGGGGGGCCTCCTGGGCTGGCAGCGCTCTCAGACACCTACCCATGGCTTGGTAGCGCGGGCTAATCGTGGTGGGGTGGTGAAGGACGAGGATCTCGGCCTCAAACTCCCAGGATGCTTGGGGATTCAAGCGTGGGGAAACCATCACCATGCCCTTCCGGATGGATGAGCGCTTAATCTGAAAGAAAGAGGGGATCCCAGGCCTCAGGGACAATATGGCTCCGGTTCCACCTCTGGTCCTGGAGGACCAGGAGTCCTTCTGGGAATGAAAACCACCCCAACTTGGCCTTGCCCTCACTGGTCTGGACTACAGGCCTTCTAGGCAGATTTTAGTACTACATGGGAAGCTTAAACGCTGCTACTGGAAGTCGGGAAAGGCTCCATGCAGAAATTGGCATTTCAGCTGGGCCTTGAAGGATGGGTAAGAATTAAGTGGGTGGCGAGGGCAAAGGCAGGCAAGCCCTGGGTGGAAGGGGGGCAACCATGACAGGGCTGCTGGAGGGAATAAAGAAAGGCCCACTTTGCTGGTGAATTTGGTTGGTGGGGAAGATAGGTGAGCCCAGAGCTAGCACTCACAATTCCCAGGGGACAGAAGGCTGAATGGGAAGAGGATTTGGCATGGACCCCTATGGTCCTATCTAGGACCCTCTACACAGCAGGGAGGCGCCTATCTGACCTCACCACTGAGGTCAGGGCACCCTGCTCACACGACGGGGAGCAACAGCTTAGGAGGCAGGCCAAGGTTCAAGTCCTGGCTCTAGCACTTAATGCCTGTGTGCTCCTGGGCACATCATTCAGGCTCTCTGAGCCGGTTTCCTCATTGGTAAAAGTGAGGTCAGTAACCCCTGCCTTGCAGAGCAGCCATGAGGACCAGCGATGGCCCAGAGCCCAGCAAACAGCGGAGTCCGGGGGGACTTCTGGTATTATCCACACTCACCTTCTTCAGTGCAAAGGAGGCCGTCTGGCCCCCCCGCACCTCCTTGACAGGCATGCGCTTTCGATGGATTGATTTGACAGCAATGGACAGGAAGTTACCCAGAGGATCTGGGCCCAGCAGCAGTGTGTCATTCAGCTTGATCAGACCCCTCAGTGTTGTCCCAGACACCACTGTCCCCACACCCTGCAGAGAAGACCCTGGCTCAGTAAGTCCATCCCCACTCAGCCCCTCCCCGTGCAGCCGGTAGGAAGTGCCCGCCCAGCCTTCCGCACTGCTCAGTCCACTAGAAGCCACCCACCGGTACAGAGTAAGTGTCATCAATCTGAAACTCAGCAGGCTCTTCCTCCCGGTAGCTGGTGCGGGGGGAGAGGAGGTTGAGAAACATCTTCAGTAGATCTAGGTTCTCGCCTGTAACGTTGGAGATCTGGAATATCGGGCACATCCTAAGTGAGGGGCGAAGAGAAAGGAAAGGAGCTCAGGAGGCCAGCTCCTGCCTGCCCAACACAGGATAAGAGCAGCTGCTGCTGCTGCAAAGGACCCCACTGCCCCCGTGCCCCCTCCCAGGGCTCTACCCCTCTGCTCCGACCTAGCAACTCCTGCCAGACCTGTTCTAAGGCCTTCTTCTCTTTCCAAGTTGTGTATCTGAAATCTGTCCCTTCCGTTTATTTCAGGCGCTCATGACTACTTCTTCCTAAAGCACACACGATTGTTTAAAATCCTTACTCACCTTCCCACTGCAGAGAAGACAGCCCAGACCTCTGCTCTCAACATCTCCGCAGGTTTATTTCTCTTCAATTCCTATATTCCAGCCAGACCAGAGAACTTGACCATCTCCTAAAAGCTTGGTACTTTTTGCCCCTCTGTATGTGTTCACTCTGATCCTCCTTCCTTCTCTCTTTCCCAACTACCAGAGCCTCTCATCCTTCAGAGCACATCACTGCTGCTTCTTCCAGGGTGCCCTTCCCGGATGGGCACTAGACTCCTCAGCTCTCGGAGAACTTTGTCTCTATTACATGTAACAATGTCTGATTTTCCGTCAGTTATCTCGATGGCCTCTATAGCTCCTATCCAGGATTAATCAAACTCCCAGAGATCAGCAATTATATATTTCCTATAGATTCTAGAAGAGCACCTGCACAGAACAGGCACTGGGTAAAATCAGTGAATTGAAATGCGGGCAGCTGAAATATACCCGCTCGGTTTGGCCAAAAAACGGTGGCACTGACGATAGCGTGAAGGCCAAGCCACAGGCCAAAAATGCCAGGCTGCTCTATGCCACGTGCTACAGACCAAGCCAGGAGGCAGGCGGCTCCGAGGCAGTCCCGTGACTCTGGGAAAGGGAACGGAGTTAACCAAGTTCACTATTAGCAAGAGACTCCCTCTGACCAAGGAGCTGACCACCTTGAGGACAAGGACAGTGCCCGAGTCAGCTAAGAATCCTCAATGCCCAGCTGAAGAGCCCGGCACAAAACAAACATCCAATAAATATTTATGGAATCCAAGGATGCGTTAGTGAGTAAAGGCCTAAAGCGGTCTGTGACTTCAGAGCTTTTGGGAAACAACAGTACAAAACATTAGTAATAACAGGTATAGAAATGGCTGTGTATCCATCACACAGCAGCCAGGCACGGCGCTAAGTGCTTTCTGTATATCATTTCCATGCAGCTCTACAGAGAAGGTAATATTATTCCCATTTCACAGATAAGGACACTGAAGTCTTAGAGGGGATTCCAACCTCAGTGAGGCTAGCATCTCAGAATCTGGGTCACCTGACATAGCTCTGGGCAACACTGCTGGCCTGGGAGACCTTGTGCTGAGCCCAGCAGAGTCTATTTCATCCATCTCTGTGCCTGCCCAGAAGGGACTGCTCCCTGCCCCATACCTCTCAGAGCTGAAGTTGGAGGCCGTAACAATCACGTCGTCCTTGCTCTGCACCAGCACAGGGATCTTCCGGCAGCCTGGCGACTTCAGCAGGCGCTGTAACAGCTTCAGGGTTTCTTAAAGGGTGAAATGGGACAGAATCAGGGGGACACGGCCTTCTTTATGGCCAGACTTCCAGAGCAAGACAGGTCCACTGATTACTGATGCAAGCAGGAGACAGGCAGTGTTAAACGCACAACGCCTGGAGGAGCAAAAAGGAGGAGCAAATCTCTGGGTGTGTGTGTGCCTGCTGGAGTAGAAGGGGCACAGATGAGGCCTATCTGCTAAGGGTACTCGACCTGAAACCCGTCGAGTTTCTCCAGTCTCCAGAAGACCCGCATCCTGTGAGTGAGTGACTAGGGGGTCCATAAGCACAATGTTATCCCCAAAACGTTCTGCTTCATGGAGAAAACGTATCTGACGAAAGGATCTCTAGGAAACTTAGACATGTGCAGAAGCCCTTATGAGGCCCTCCCATAGGGTATTTCCCTGCTTCTCTTCTATTAATACCATCTGTAGCAATGAGGGAGAAGTGTACAAAGACCTAGTTCTGCAACCCCTTTTGGAAGCCTTCAGTGGTAAAAGGTGTTCAGACCCCGTCCCAACGCCGCCACATAGGCATATCCAGCTTGGATGGCACAACCCAACCCCTTCTGCCTGGGGCCACCCAAAAAGAGGTGCCAGACTACGGAGCTCAAGACTCTTGCATTTGGAACCAGGAGGAGCAAAGAGCAGGGGATAATTCCAGGCTGTGCTCAGACCAAGAGCTAAACAGGGGAGAAAGCACAAGATTCTGGGCTGCTGGAAACTCAGGCCAAGGTGTGAGCACAAGATGAGGAGGCAGAAGCCCTGGCAGCACACCAAGGAACCACAGGCCACAGTGGGTGACAGCCCCAAACAGGGAGACTGCTGCTAGCTGGGGGCTTCACTTACCTTGCAGAATGTTGGCCGGACACATGTCAATCTTGGTGACCACCACGAAAACAGGCACATTGAGTGCCAGTGCCAAGCCCAGGTGCTCCTTGGTCATCCCCACGATGCCAGCATTGCTGCCCACCTACCCCAACACAGAAAGAACTGTCGGGGCGAGGGAAACAGAGGTGGCTGCTGGGTGGGCACAGAGGCTCAAAGATGGCTGGGGTAGGAGCGAGTTCCCATATCTGAGACCGTCATCAGGACAGGACACAGAAGGCAAAGTCTCAGGCCAGGAATAAAATCACTGTAGATGGGCTGGCTGGACACAGGCCGCTTTAGCCTCTGCTTCAACGACGTGGGCCACCCAAGTCTGAGACTTGGAAACAGGAAAAAAGACAAACCCGGACAGTGTGGGAAAACAACTGTCCAGGGTCATCCAAGTGGTTCCGGTTTAACCTCCCTGGCCCTCAGTTGCCTTTTCTATAAAATGGGGGCATAATATCCATGGTAGACGGTCACCTGAGGTAAAATGTAACATATGTCAAAGGTGCAGCACACAACTAGCATGAATTAGGTGTTCAAGCAATGGCAGCTGTTATTACTGTTACTGTTCCTTCCTGCTATAATAAATTATTTAAATATCACCACAAAAGCTGGTGAAATAAATTAGGGCACGTGCACAATGTACCGAATGTGCTGTGCAGAAAAAAAACGGTGGGGAGGGCTCTTATCTACCGGTATGGGATAATCTCTGAGATATGTTTTTAAGGGGGAAAAAAGCAAGGTATGTATACACACACACACACACACACACACACACACACGGCACACTACCATTAAAAAAAGTGGTGACTGGATTACTATTTGAAAAAAGCAGCTATTAAGACATTTGGCGAACATCTGAGATATATAAAAATACTTATAGACTAAATATTGGATGATATTTAGGGAGCTCCTGTTCATTTCTTGTAATAATAGTAGGAGACAATATTTTTAGGAGCTGTGTGCTGAAGTATTTGGAGGTGAAGAGTCACAATATCTATAATTTACTTTCAAATGACTCAGCCAAAAATCAGAACAAAACCACCATGTGCACCCATCACATATACAGATAAATATGGCAAAAATGTTAATGACTTGAATCTGAGTGGCAGGTTTAGGTAGTTGTTATTTTATTTTTCCAACTTTCCTGAATGCTTGAAATTGGAGGGAGAGGATATATACACTTTTGCTGGTATGATTACAAAATATCTCTGAAGGATTCATAAGAAACTAGAAATACTAGTTGCCTCTGAAAGGAAACAGGAGGAAGAAGGAAGACTTTTCACCATCAGCCTTCGTACCTTTTTATTTTCGTATCATACAAATGTGTTTGTTACTTACTAAAACAAAATAAAATTCAAATTGCCATATTTATATAGTGCTTTATACATTACAGAGTGTTTTCAAGGATGCTCTTGTTTGATCATCACAGGTGAGCCGCCACCCCACTGACACAGATGTCCCATGCCTGTGTTCCCTTTGGCCTACACCAAGACACCTCTGCCATCCTCCTCGAAAATTTTCCCATTCCCTCCAACCTTTCCTATCCAACCCAGACTTACTTTTGTTCTTTCCAACCTGGGCAGGAGAAAGCTCTCTTGCTTTGTTGTCTATATATTATTTTAAAGATTCCACCCCCACCCCCAGAAATTCATTGCCATGGAACAATAACGAAATATTGCATTGTTTTCTACAGAAAATGTTTAATATTTCGATGGCCTAAAAGTCAGATAATATAAGCCATTTTATCTGGGTGAAGATCTTTCCATTAATTGGCCTTGTTCACTGTAGCTCAGTTAGAAAAACACTCATTTCAAACTGGTTTCTATACCTCTCAAATCAGCCCAACAACCAACCCGCAAGTACACCTTTAGACCATTCATTGACACACCTTCTAATAGAGCAGCTTTCCTTAGCCCAGCCAAGGTCTGTAATGGCCCCTAGCAATGATCGAAGATAAGGGATAGGAAATCACTGCTGAGATCCCAAGAGCCTTGGGCAGGGAGCCAACAAGAGTGTGACAAGAATGTTCACACATACCCTCAGCTTCGCTTCTCTTTACTTTTCCGTTTGGGGCAGCTCCGCCTGAGAACCTGTGTTTGTGGGGCAACCTGATGGAGTCTGCTCTGAACAGATGCTTGTGTTTACTACACTTATTAATGCAGGCAGCTGGAGGAACTGGGACACAGTGAAGGGCTTTGAGAGGGACTTGCCAAAGGAAAACCTGCTCGCTCGCGCGCTCTGTGAAAGAGGTAAAGCCACCACCAAGGCTGTGGGCCCGAGGACTCCACTCCCTGTCCAGGGAGGAAGATCAAAGGGCCCCAAACACAAGCTTAGCAACACGACTGCGGGCGCCTCTGCTCCCTTTCCTTTTCAGTTCTCTGCACAATGAGCTGCTTCCCCACCAGTCTGTACGCTCTGCAGGAGCCCAGGCTGGCCCTGTTCATTACTGCACCTTCAGGGACCCTCAACACCGTGCCAGGGACGCAGACGCCCGTTCCACACTTTGCAAGAGGCCACCTCCCAGGTCCCTCTTGGTAGCTGTCTGTGCTCCCCTTCTTTGAGGGTATCGCCTGGCATCGCCCCCTCAAAGTAGCCCAGCCCCAGAAGAAAACACCTCTGAAGGTAATACGGACACTCCAGGGAAAACCCTCCTCCATGTCTCCAAAAAATTGAGAGGTCTGCAAATACCTTGGTTTTTCCTTAGGGGATCTCTTCCCTTTCTGGCCTAACCGAGGAGATCAAGGTACACCCCTTGAGGAGTCTGGAGCGCTCAGAGGACTGGGCACCCCTGGCAAAACTTGTCATCCTTACCCAGTGTCAAAGCCCCAAACCAACGGGCTTCCCCCTCAGGACAATTTCGAACACTTGCACATAACCACACCCCCAACAGCTCTGCTGCGGCCCCCCCTCCCCGGGAGCGCCCCACACTTACCATGAGCATGCAGAAGTCAGGCAGGTGGCCCGTCATGCCAAAGACCGTGGTCTTCAGGTATTTCTCATGGCCAGCCAAGTCAATGAAGGTAATCACCTTAGTGGACTTCTCACAAATCTTGGTCCACTCCAGGCTGCCACCATGGCTGTCCGGCTTGTTCACCACATTGCCTTCGCTGTCAAAGCCCAGGATGTCGTTGCCCACACTGCTGGTGCGGCCAGATTCAATCTCGTGTTTGTGGCGGAAGAGTTTCTGGCGGGCAAAGCCGCGGCCATTGTCCAGCTCCCCGTGTGTCAGGACCCCCAGAAGCGTGCTTTTGCCAGCATCCACGTTGCCCACTACTGCTACCCTGCGTGTACAGGAACCCATAGGTCTATGTAAGAGTTGGTGGGTGAGCAAAGCGAGCCCCACTGTAAGGCCAGGCTTGCTCTGGAGCCTGCCCAGCGCACTGCTCCTCCTATTCATGGATAAGCACATGGGGATGTTTCTGGAGGTTTATCCAGGGAGTAGAAGGTCATTCAGGAGGAACTGGTCTCCCATCAGAGTGGCTTTCTCCCTTCACTTCCACTAGCTTCCTCCAAACTGCCAGACAGGGGCCCCAAAGTCCAGAGAGGCACAAAATGCTCTCCTCTATCACCCAGGTTTCTAGCCCCACAGGTTGGTAAAAAAGAAAACGCAGCCCACAGAATGTATGGCTGGCCTGTCTCCCACTCTTCCCAAATGGAAATATTCAGGGATAGGGAAGTGCAGAAATAGAGAATAGAGCGATTATGTCTTGGACACTGTTTCCATGCCTCAGAAAGGGAAGGGGTGCAGCTGACACACTAGGTGTCAAAGCTCCATCACCATTCTCTGTGAAGCCCTAGACCCTGAGGTCATGCTGTAGGGGATCCCTGACTGTTCTGAGGCCCCCTCACCTGACCTCCAGGAAGTCATTGTCTCCTACTCGTTTCCGGACCAGGTAATCACGCACGCGGCCCCCAGCTTCTTGACGTTCCCGCAGGAGGATGACATCGGCCTCTATCTGTTCTGCCATGCTTTTCACTGTGGCGTAGGAGGCCTCCATGTCAGCTTCACTCAGCCCGTACTCAGTCCCATCTGGTGACAAGAGGCCAGACATCAGGCTTCCAATCAGCCAACCCCTAAGAAAGGCCCCACCCCAGGCAGTGGGGAAAAACACGGCTCTACCTGACACTTTTCAAAAATCTGGCCACACACAGAGTTAATAAATAATAGTGTCACGGGCTTCCCCATTAAGCAGGACCTTCATTAGTTCATTCACCAGTAATCACTGAAATTCTCCATGGTGTTACACCAAGCCTCATGCTGGGTCCTGGGAATACAGGTGCCCTCAGCCAGCTCACAGCCAGCAGGAGAGACAGGAAATTAATTAACTGCAATGCACCCTGAGTACTGTACTATAGAACCGTACAAAGAGAATGTAAAGCGTGAGCAACTAGCATTGCCCGGGGAAGCTGAGGACAGCTTTGCAGGGTGCTGGGTCTCCAAGTGTGAAAATGGGCCTACCGACAAAGAAGGAAAGACATCCCAGGCAGAGAAGCTAAGCATGGAGCATGGCAGATCACGGCACATTCAGGGACCAGGAAGCAGCTTGGTATGCTGGGGAGCAGGATGTCAAGTGCTGGGAGACCACACAAGATGGGGAAGCAGTTAGGCAGACAGACGTTAGCAGCAAAACACGTTATTTACCAGGCAGCAGGAAGCCTTGGGGGCTCAAGCAAGGGAGTAGCATGATCAGATCACTGTGCGTGAGAAAGATCTCTAGGGCAGCCATACAAGGTGTGCACAGGCAAGCGAGAGGTCAGGAAGCGGGGAGCCCCGTTAGGAAGCCAATCTAATAAATTCAGGCAAGAGATAATGAGGACAGGAGACAAAGGAAAATGGGGAGGGAATTTAAGAATGATTTTAGGGATTGATTTTTAACTGACGTGGCTCAGGTGAAATATCCAGCAAGTAGACGCAAAAACAAGTCTGAGCTCAGGATGAAGGGAAGAGCCAATCAACCAATCATTTATAAAGTACCTGCTGTACGACAATTCCTTCAGGTGCTTTCCACTTGGCATCAGGCGTAATTCCTACAGTAACTCTCTCGGCTTTCCCTCCAGCCTCTCTGTCTCGGAGAGCACCCCTGCTCCTTCCCTAGGCTAATCCCCCAGCATGGCCCAACCTCTCCTCTGCCGCTGTGGCTGCCTCCCACAGAACTTGAAGCACCTTCCCTCCCCCTATCTTCCTCCCCCTCCACTTCTCCCCTTCCAAACAAGCTCAAGTTATTCCTAAACCAGGAAAAGGAAACCCACCCTCCCTTCCTTGCCCCTGCCTACCTGCTGAGCTACCATCTCCTCTGTTCCTTTTTCCACCAAGCACCTCAAAGAGTACCTGAGCCTTATGGACTGTCACCGCTTACTCTGAATCTTACTGAGAATCTGGAAGAAACTTGTACTTTTCAAGTCATCAGTGGCCTCCTAACCTCATCCAACGCCCTTTATTTGACCCCAGGAGCATGTGACACTGCTGGCCACCCTGCTTTGGCTTCCTGAAGCACCTCCTCCCACCAGCTTGCCTAGTGCATGGAGTCTCCTGAGCCCCTTCCCTGCTCTCTGGTTCCTCTTTCTCTGTCTTCTCTGCAGGCTCCTCCTGCTCCTGTCCCCTAAATGCCAATCTTTTCCAGTAGCCAATGGCCCTCTTCTCTATCCTCTAAACCAGCGGTTCTCAACCTGGGGGTTGCGACCCCTTTCACAGGGGTCGCCGGGTACACGTATGTGGGTGTATCTGTATGTGGGCATGGAGATGGATACAGGAGCGGTGTCTCGGTTCCTAAGACCATCAAAAATATGTGTTTTCCGATGGTCTTAGGCGACCCCTGTGAAAGACTGAGAACCGCTGCTCTCAACAGTCCCCTTGGCCATCTCATACTATGGCTTCAAATGTCACTTTGAAAGCTACAAAAACACTCATTTCTAGAACTGTCCTCTTCCCAGAGCTCCAGACTGAATCCCCAATTGCCTGGATGACTCCTAGAAGCCCGATGTTTAAACTCAACCACCCCACCCCCTCCCTCTAAACAACAGCACAAACTCTAACACCATTAATAAAGCACTTTAGTTCTCACTGCAACCCTAGGAGGTAATAAGCACTACTTTTCCCATTTAACAGTGGAGTAAATAGAACCCAGAGAGGTCTCAGGGTTGGTAGGGAGTGGAGGACCATGTGAGATTGGGTCTTCTGATTCCAAACCTCGAGTCTTTTCTGGCAAGGGTTCCTCTTAATGTCAGACCAGTTCCTCCCCGTCTTCCCTATTTCTGATGACAACACCATCCTTCCAGTCACTCAAGCTTAACACTCATCACCCCAGTCCTGCTGATTGTGGCTTTACACCTCGCCCGTCTTTCCTTGTCCCTGCGCCCCTCTTTTTGCCAATCCAATGCCACAAGTCTAATTCAGGCCCTTTTTCTGCCTCAGTCACCATAACAAGCCCCTAACTGGTCTTAGCAAATCCAGTCTCTATTCCCTCCAACCCGCCCTGCATAGACTCAAGCCCAAGCTCCTAAACAAAGCACAGCTAATGTTGTCACATCCCAGTCAAAGCCTTGGAATGGCTCCCCGGGCCCAGCCATGTTCAGTTCCAATTCCTTCAAGACCTCCCTCATTTAACTCTACACCCCCTCCTCAGTTTTGTCCCAGTGCAAGTGGCCCAGTCACTATCCCGCCATGTTCCCTGCACTTTTCCAGCTCTACACCTTTGCTCACACATTTCCTGTCCTAGGAAGCTCCTCAGCACACCTCCACCTGTCCCAACCCTACCCACCCTGATCCCTTATGGCATTTGCCACCTACTACACCCAGGGTGCGTGTCTTCCCCACTAAACATCTTCAGGACAGGGATCATATTGCCAACACTCCCTGGATGCCCCATGAGGGATGCCTTTCCTACAGCAAGTCCTCAAATGTTTGTAAAATGCAAAACAAATAAACAAAGGAGGAACAGTTGGGCTGAGGAGTTTCTAAGTGCAGGGCCAACTGAGCTCTGGATGTCTGGGTTAGAGAAGGGCTTGCTGGAAGGCCTGCTAACCCCGCCAGACCCCCAAATCCTATCCACCTTTTCCTGATTCTGACACAACAAAAATCAATGCTTTCAGGTCCTGTTCCACGCCAGGGGGCAATCACCAATGTCACCTTGTCCATCCAGGGCTCCCAGAAAACGTCCCCAGTAACATTCCTCTTCTCCAGCACGCACTGCATTCCTCACTCAGTAGGATTGGAGACAAAGGTCCAATTACTAAAGGCCACACATTCACCCATGCCCAACCCTAATGAGACTTCCATCTTGCCATCTGACTTACCTTTTCTATATTCACTCTCCTTCTCAATATGCTACAAAGTTCCCCAAACTTTTAGGATAAAAGTCTAAACTCTTTGGTATGGCATTCAAAGACCCTCCAGATCTGGGACCTGACTACCTGTCCAGCCCACTGTCCTGACACACCCAATCTCACCCACCAAATACTCCACTATCGCCAGTGCCTCTGTGCATGCGGCTTCCGCTGCTCACTCACTGCTGCCTCCATTTACCTGAAAAACGCCTACTCATTCATCCTTTGGAACTAATTCAAGGGGCACCTCCTTTTGAAGCCTTTCCTGACTTCCCCAGAAAGACTTAACACTCCTCCTATGTTCCCTGAACTTTTACTACAGTACCTGGCTCTTAGAAAGTCATGATTTAATACTTGAATGAACATGGTTCTTTTTGAATGAAATCCATGGTTAATCAACTATAACCCGAAACCCTTAAAAAGTACTACTGTAACTACTGATACCAGCTAACATTTATATAGTGCTTACTATATGCCAAGTGTTGACCTTCACCATGACACCATGAGATAGATTCCACTATTATCCTCATTTTAAGATAAATTAAAGAGGCTGCCAGGCTCTAGACCCTGAACGAACTATTAGGCCAGGTTGCCTCCTTTTAAAACACGGATCTTGAATTAGGAACATATATTTAAAAAGCATATTCCTCTATACTGCTTAAGAGTCTTTTAATGTATAACTTACTCACACACAATTTCTCTGAGAGAGGGTGGGGAAGGATGTCATTATCCTCATTTTATAAGCAAAGGAAGTGATAAACAGAGACGAAGCACCAAGCACACACAGGAAGCAGGTGATGAAGCTGACCCCTGGAGGCCTTGCATCTGGCTTAGTCCTTTGTTTGATGTTCAACTTGTTTAACTAGTTGCACTTTCTACCTCTAAAGAATTCCAGCTGGAAGGAGTCGCTAAGAATCTAATAGCATCCAATTGACAGATGCAAAGATAATGCTTGGGTGTGTGGACGTGTTAATGAATGCCTGGCATCTTATGCTTTGCCATAGGCAGGTTAATTAGTTGCAAGTTGCCGAGGCATGGTGGTAAAATTCATGGAAGAGTCCACATTAAAAAATTGGGGGCATCTTAAGAATCTAGGTCTTCAAAGAACAGTCTCAACACCTATCAAAATTTTTCTAGATGTAGTGTCTTCAATTCTATAGGCATGAAGTGACCCTAGTACAGCAGGCTAGGTGTGCACCCGACACAAAAAGCTTTCAAAAGGCTACCAAGGATCCCCTAGTCACCAAATGGAACCCCGGCTCTCCTTGCGGTCTCTGTAGCACTTGACAATGCTGACCAACTCCCTTCCTTTCTTGATGGGCAACCTCTTAGTTTGCCTATCTCTTGGACCATGCCTTCTTTAAGATGATAAGCCCTGAAACCAGGGAGGTGGGAGCAAAGATGAAAAGGAAGGGATATGAGAAACATGCCAAAGGAAGGCACAGCAGTAATTGGAGGTCAAGTCCTTCCTCCTTGTGTCACTCGGACAGCATTTCCAAATATTCTTTTCTACTGAGGTTATTTGTGTATATGCCATCTTTCCTTCTCAGGACAGAGACCAGGTTTTAAGTATCCAAAAGTGCTTTGCAACAATATCAAGCCCTTAGGAGATACTTAATCGATATTTGTCAAATAATTAAAAAATGATTTTGAGATTTTACCTATCTTAAACTCAGTCTACAAAAGAATTATTATCTGCCTTTACAAAGCCTGCATTCAGCAAAGAGAGTTGTTCCTTTAATGATGCACTGAGGCCTACCGAGCGGGCCTTTCTGCAAAGATGACAGACAAGTTCTGGTACAGGCTCAATTCAGAATCGTTAACAAGCCCAGCTGCCATTTCAGCAAAGATAATGTCATAATGAAGATGAAGGTAAGTAGGCCTTGAATTGAGGGTATAAACTAGGAATGACCAAGGGAGAAAAAAAGCCTAAGGTATAATCTGGGATTGTGTCATGGGGGCTGCCTTCCTCTAAAACAGTGGGCCCCCATTACAGTGGGATAAGCGGAGTGGAGTACAGTAACCAGTTCCTTCCAGAATGGTAACAAGCCTACATGTCTGAGGGGATCTCATAGGGAGAAGAGGGGGCCTCTGTTATCACAGCTATCAACACTGAATGGTCACTGTGGTCTGGGGCAAGGAAGCCTTGCTGAAGAGAAGGCTTCTGAGTGTCCTCTTCTTGTCGACATCAAGAAGGATCACGGAAGTTCTCTAAGCAGGCAATAAGTAGCAACGGGATCTGTAAACTGGGTTTGGAGGAGAAGACCTAGAGCTGCCCAAGGAAGGCTTAATTCTAGGACTGTGACTTGCTCTAGACCTAGGACAAAAAGTTTCCTTGCTTTGTGCTTCATTCCCCTTTATGGAAGTGGAAAGTCCTGGAGGTACAAAAGAAGCATCTGTAAAACCGCTTGGAAAGTGAGTTTTTAAAGTCAAGCGTATTATGACCACTAAGGTGGGAATTAACATTATCACTTTGTACTTTTATGTCCTCCCAAACAGCTCTGCAGACACTGAATGGGAAAAGTGAGTAAAAGATGGAAAATGTGCTCTAAATCATTTTTTAAAAATAAAGAGAAAGGAAAACTATGCTCACCTGATCCCTGCCCAATGACATATATGGTCTCTCCGCATCCCTCGTCCATCCTCTCCCACATCTGCCGAAGTAGGCTGTCATACTGCTCTGATGTAGGGCTCACTAGAACCAGCTAGAAGAGAAACCAACAGCCTTAGGACCACACTTCCTAGAAGAGCACCACAGCCAAAGCAGCTTGGCAGCCTGACCAAAGACCCTGACTGAACCCCACAGCACCCTCATCTAAAATAGCTACACAGCCCTTCATGCCCTCTCTGCCACTCCCTAAATAGCCTTTGAGCCTAAGGCCTTATATGAGTTGAGTTATATGATGTGCTAAAATGACTATGTCTGAAACACAACCCACAGAAAACAGGGTGTGAACAGCCTGCCTCCAGCTGCTTAACAGGAGGGGAAGGGCTGGCAATGACTGATCTGACGTTGTGGGTAGAAATTGATGAGCAGTGCTTCACACCTACACGTCAAAGTCTCCTATCTGCAGCTTGCAACTCACAGGACAGAGATCTCCCATACTGCCATGCTCTCCACCCAAGACCAATGGTTGTCATAATAACAAAAGAACGCTGTTCCATCTTGCCTGGGCCATCTCGATTAGTTAGGTTATTTAGGAATCAGCAGTAAAAACTGCAAGACTCGTCTTCATCAACAAAACACCATTACCACTAAGATGGATATTAGCACCATCATTTTGCAAATTTGTGCTAATAACATTAAAGTATTGACCACTTCTTTGGGGAGGCCATTCAATAGGCACGTCAGGTCCCATTCTCTTAACCATTCATGTGTGACCTTGGACAAAGAACTTAACCTCTCTGAGTCTCATTTTTTCAATCTACAAAATGTAAATAATGCCAGCTGCGTCCTAAAGCCACTATAAAGAACAAATAAGATAACATGTAAAGCATCTAGTCCACAGATCAATAAGTGGTAAATACAGTTTTCTTCACCCAATCATTCCTAGAAAAATCTTCTTGGATAAAACTAGCCACCACAATTCACTAATTGTTTCTCCGTTTGGCAACTTTCAGAGCTTAGGTCTCTACATATAATTGTAGCAAATGTATAAACTTAGAGCTTCTAATCTTTTCCTCAGGAATCAATCTATCAACCCATCCCTTCTCTCCCTCCACATCGTCAGTTTTTCTTTTCAATACCATCAATATTTATATACATATAGCTCCTCAACTTTAAAATAGTGATGTGATGAAGTAATACTTCCCCAGCTACGTGATTAAGCAACATTTCCGTATCCTGGAACATTAAATAAGTTGGTCAGGAAATGAAGGTATTACTCTTCACCTCAACTCTGCTCTGCAATTTCTCACTGTTTTCAGGTTTCTTCAGCACCTTGACCATGAGTTGACATCCAGCTCGTCTGCCTGTGAGTCAAGTACAGTTTTTTACAATTCCTGAGATGACTCATCAGAGCTTATGGTTGGCACCTTGAGAGCTGCCTGGGTCTTTTACATCATGCCACTTGCCTCACACATTTCCCCTGACCTGTCCGCTCTCCAAGTTTGACCATCCTCATTATGATATTAGAGATACCAGACAGGACCACTGGCTTCTAAGTGCTCAGCAGACACTAAAGGGAAAAAGAGCAGTTGAAACTTGGTTACTTATTGCTTAGCCTGCAGGGAAAAGTTCTCTCCAGCTTGGGCCAAGTTTCATGCAATTTTTGCCACCAAAGACTGAAAAGTCACAAACCTTTTCAAAGCTCCATAAACATCTCTATTGTAATTTTCCAACTACAGGTAGGAGGGGGTATTGGTGTTCTAGCTTCCATTAGCTCCTATTAATCTGCACAGGGAATTATCAGTTATTCAGTTCACTTCAAATATTTACAGAGTAGTATGTAATAGGCACTATGCTAGGTGTCATATACATTTCTCGTTTTTACAACCACCTGTACTCAAAAGATGATGTAGCTGGAGAACTGAGGGGTTAAGAAACTTTCCCAAGGTCACAGAGCCTTTTGAAAGGAATCTGTTAAAACACAAAACTCAACCAAGTAAATCTGAAGATCTAATTGGCTTTACTGAACAATTCATGAATCTTGCAGCACCCCATCTAGTTAATAAGAGATGTGATCTGAGAAGTAGTGCAAAATGGAAGGTTCTTATAGGAAACGGGGAGGGATGAGAAAGTTATTAGCAAAAGTAAAGAAACAATTGCTTCAGGCCAGGTCATCTGTTTTTTGGGGGGGCTGGGTGACAGGGGGCTCTTATGCAGATTACCTCTCTAGTGTTGAGGAGGAAATTACAGCTTAATATTCCACACCTGGGAGGGACTGAAACTGCAATTAAGTCTAGGTTTGGTGTCTTGGGAGCACGTGACCCCACCTTGGGCCAGTTTCTTTTTTTTTTTAACAGAACCCAGCCCTGTCTGACTCCCAAGTTGGCATTCTTTCCTTTAGCAATGTGTGAAGCACCTGCAAAAAACAGTCACGTACTTACTTTTTATCCCCCACAATGCCAAGCAGAAGGTGAGACCATAACTCCTACCCACCTTCTCAAGAGCTCAGAAGACACAATTTGAAACGTCCTTCCTTATTCCGTTCATACAAGATGTTGCTCCACTCCCAGGATGGCGAGATTATGGGTCATGCCATCTTTCAATTTTGTTTTGGGTAGATTCATAAAGTAGACATTCCTCAGACATCCTTCTCCCTAACTGAGCGACTACTTTCTGTTTCTTTTCCCAGCACCAGAAGACGCCTCCCGGTTCCCTCTCGGAGGACCTGATCCTCCCGCGCCTCCGCTCCCCCCTCCCCCAACCACTTCCGACCCTCGGCTGCGGTGGACAGTCCAGAGAGAGGACCCCCTCGGTCTCGGGGGAGGCAGCACTGCGCGAGGCGCTGCGGGCGTCGGGCTCCCTCGTTCCACGTGGCGGAGCCGAGGGGTTGTGATCTCCGCGGGAGGCCGAGTCGAGGCGGCGGGGAAGGATGCGGGTGCTGGGGGCCGCCCCTTGTCCAGGAGACCCCAGCGCAGCCGGCACCCGCAGGTGGGCGGGCTCGGCCCCCTTCCCTCTCCTGCCGTCGCCTCGGAGATGGCTCGGCCCACCGCCCTGTCCCCTAAGCGCCGGGTCCCCTTAGCGCCGTCGCCGGCGCCCAGGCCTACCTTGCTGGTGAGGTCCAGCTCCGGCTCGCCGTTGAGCGCCTCGCCGTCCTCACTACAGTCCGAGTCGAATCCGCCATGGAGCCGAGCGGCAGCCGCCGCGGCCCTAGCCCCCCCCGGGGAGCTGGGCTCGGGGGCGAACATAGAGGCCGGGACCGGCGAGTCCATCGAGGAGCGACTCCGCTCCGCCGCCATCTTTAATAACTTAGGCTAATTCGTAGCCGGCCTCCCTTCCCTCCCCGACTGATTTGCCTAATCTATGCGTAGCTCCGCCCCCACACCCCTCATCGGAATAATTTATGCAAAATTATCCAACTGTGTTGAGGGTGACACGTATCTCTACCTAAGAAACAATCGACCAGGCTTCCCAGCCACCAATCACTGCAGCCCTTTCAAGCACCTAATGAATAATTAATGAAGCCCAAACCCCAACAACAAATGTCTGAGACGTCACGTGCCTGTATCGCGCTAGGGAGGGGGCAACACCGTGTCCACCCTACCAGCCAAGAGCCTTCCCGCCAACAGGAGCGGCGCAATGTGACTGACACAGCAGCTATCCAATGAGAAGGAAAATACAACACACACCCAACATTTACCCTCACCTCCCCTTACTCTCTCGTTTTCAGAGGCGGTGCTCAGCTTCCAAATGTTACTGCAAAACAGTCAGAGCCTTGAGCCTTCGAATGATGGACAGGAGCAAGGCCCAATCGAGTTATCGAATAGGTCCCGCGCCGCGGCGCGGCCCACGGTGATAGTAAACTGAACAAAGCGCATCCCTCTCTCAACTCAGTGACTCGCGGCAGTCACTGGAACACCAAGGTCTGACTTGCTGGCAATCTCCAGGCAATTTTAATAGTAGAATCGGATCGATGCCTGGAATACTACAGCAGCCAGAGCGAGGCAATTAATTAAACGCCGACCTTAGGGAGAATTCTCCATTCACTGCCTTTGCGGAGAGAGCAATTACACGACCAAAAAGAGGCAACCCGCTGAAATAGAAGCCAGAAGCACCTGTTAAAAAGAAATAGACTCAACATGGAGTCACTGTGGTAAGCCCCACTAAGACTTAATACCTAACTTAATTGCAGTTTTATTCTTTTCCAGGAGTGGAATTTTAAACCAATCGGCCTTCAATTTCCTGATCAACGCTTACGAGGTAATCTGCTTGATAAAACCCCCTGCCTTCTAAAGGAAAGTGACCTGGCCTTAAATAATTCACTCTTTTACCTCTTGGCCTATCGTCCTTCTGTCTATAAAAACCTTCTATTTTGTATAACTCCTTGGAGTTCCCTTCTACTTGCTAGATGTGATGCTGCTGTCTGATTCATGAACCACTTAAAGCCAATTAGATCTTCAAATTTACTCGGTTGAATTTTTGTTCTTTAACACACCTCACCACATTCGTGAACTTTGGAGCTGAGATCTAGAGTCTGTGAAAGAAATTTCCTACGGATGATTCTTTCAGAGCATCATCAGTTGTGGAAAGCCCTAATCCAAAACATCGTCAGCACAAGTTTTAGTCTTGAATTTCTATTTCAAAAATCAGAAAAGCTTGATGAAATTAGGGAGCAGGCTACCAGTCCCAGGCAGCAAGTAAGAGACAGCAGCCATTTGAGAATATTTAGGGTTTGGAACACAGGATTTAGTGAGCAAGAGACAGGGTTTAAAATGACTTTCAGTTTCAGGGACCTACCTGAAAGGAAAGAAGCCATCTCCTCTTGCTCCTGTTTTCAACTACAATCAACTCTGTGTACAGACACAGCTGAGAGCCACAGACAAGAAGTCTTCCAACTCCAAAAGTCTTGATAATAGTTCTTTGAATGTGTTTTTTTCCTTTTTATCTGGCTAAATTGCCCGCCAGTATCCTATATATTTCTCTATGAGGTAGTTACAAATATTAAAATCTTGATTTGTCAGAAAAGCCAAATATCAAGGCATTGTACTCTAGAATAATAATTATTTAATGTTTTACCAACTGGCTCTTCCAGAAAGAATTCAAGTTCACAATGTGCTGACACCTGATGGGAGACTAAAAAGCATGCCTTTCTTATTATAGGGCTTTGCCCAGAACACATACTGTCAAAGTGGGTGCTTCTCGAATTGAATAGAGAAGTCTAAAATCACATTTCAGAGAGGGAATTCCCTACTCATCTTTACCTTTTTGTGAAGACAGGTTAGAGTCTGGGTTCAAATCCTGAGTCCACTACTCACTAGCTATGTGATCTAGAGCAAGTTAATTAACCTGAACTTCAGTTTTCTCCTCTAAAAAACATTAAGTATCTACATTATTGGATAGTTAGCAACAAATGAGTCTATATTTGTAACAATGCTGTTTTTATATCTAATTTGTAACATTAGAACAATGCTTGCAAGCCTCAATAACTAATCTTATATAACTGTAACCCTTAGCTGGTTTCAAAATTACAAAAATTTAAGGTAATTCAAAAGTTGTCTGGATCAGCACAGAGCACTCCCAACCATAAAGTAGGCACTCAAGCACGTGTTAAGTGATAACTCTGTGTTAAGAATTCTGTTGAGGGCCGGCCGAGTGGCGCGATGGTTAAGAACTCGCTTGGGATGCCAGAGGGCCCCGGTTCGGATCCCACATATGAGGGCCAGTGACACTG